GGTGTGGTGGGTTTGCGAGCAACCTTTGCTGATGGACCAGCTGCCTCAGACAATTTTCATTTGCCTGGTCTGCTTGGCTTACGACTTTGTTGGCACTGATCAAGCTCTCGGAAATTTTCAAAACAAAGTCCAGCAACGACAAGCTTTATTTCTTTCGAATTCTCAACTGATCACAATGCCTGCAGTAGAGGAGCCCGGCATTGACCTTTGCCACCACCTTCTGGTCTTGAAATTGATTCGGTACAATGAGATGAGCATGTCAGCCTTATCAACAGCGCAAGATCAACTGTGGGCACTGGATGCTCTTCCTTAAATTGGCAACCGCAGTTGAACTGAACCCGATGGTTCCACACCGATATAATTGGAGGCGATGTGGACAATCTTGTTGTCCAACCATTTTACCACAATTATTCCAGACTCTGTATCAGACTTGAAATCCATGGTGCCACGTACCGCTTTATTCCCTTCCTTGTTGGATTGCAATGAACATCCTTGAAGCGGAATAAATATTCAGCTCACTCCCTACTAGACTATAGCTCTATATATTTGTAACATCAATTGTAATAGTGCTTCAGTGTCAACTTTTCATGTTTGAGGAAACATGACGAATCCTATTACCGGGATGAAACCTACAACTTCCGGCAGAGCGTTCGCTTGTTTATTTTCACATGAGAAAGTCATAGGGTTCGCAGCCGAGAATCGAGGCCACTATATTCAGAGGTGAGAACTTAATATGGATGACCACTGCAGCACTGAAGCTCACGAACATGATGAAAAGGGATAAAATCAAGCTTACAATAGTTTTACTAATACATAGTATATACACAGTATATATATACATAAACACTATAAAACAGTGTAAAATAGAATGTTCAACTGGTTCAACCTGCAGCCAGGAGGCCCAATACTGAAGACAAAAGAAATTTGTAACTATATTCAAAGGAAATTGCAGTAAAATACAGGACATGCAGTAAAATACAGCACAGGTATGACATTTGAGAACTGAGATGCTTGGTTTGCAGAGGCAGAAAAATGTAACGGCGTTTGTGCTCACACCAGAGGCAGAGAGCTTAAGATATTAGCGACGTTTTTGTCAACATGCACGGACGTCAGTTCGTCGATGTGAACTGGAAACTGTCTTTTTGTCAGTTTGTGGTAATCTTCAACACATAGTCATAGGACAAAACCTTAAGAGTTTTTAAGTTTTTTGCTTCCTTGCACGAGCGTTACGATGCAAAATGCCGCCAAAATTAGTCCATTTTGACAAAAACGTCGCTTTCTTAAGCTCACTGCCAGGGCGCTTATATATAGGAAAAGTTAATATATCATGACTGAGCCCATCACGAAGCACTGGTTTAAACATTTTAAACAAACAAAAACACAGTCTTGTGGTAACAAATCTTGTTTATTTCAATGTCAGAGAATTTAAAATTTTACAATTAATCTGTATCCACAATGATTTTGAACAAATTTTTGGTCAGTTTCAGAATGGTTTAGAGACCCAATTTGGTTCTTCTCCAATGACGTCTTTTGGCGTTGTATCTACAAAAATAAGACAATAATTCCGTTAGAAAGCTCTACAGTAGATCGCTTATATGCAACTTCCCGTTTTCTCGAACTAAAATCTTTTTTCCGTGGATTTGCCAATACTATTTCAATCATTTTTACTCGCTTATTTCAAACTCTCCGCTATTTCCAAGTATTTGTTGCTTTCCTTGACCGGATTTGCCCAGTTACAGTATACAAATAATGAATGTTTATGAGTGCAATGGTAAGAATATTTTCATGAGGTGAAAGATGGAATGTTCCATTCAACGAGGCGACAGCCGAGTTGAATGGAACATTCCATCTTTCACCGAATGAAAATATTCTTACCATTGCACGAAGAAACATTCATTATTTGTTTTATATAATACCAAAGGTCCAGAACAGACTAATAGATTCGTATGAGAAGCATTTTGAGGGATGCGATTTATCGAAAACACAAAGAGTGCAATTGTACTATACGTTTTATTACATTGCACTCGCGCAGAGTGCAATGGAACGTGTTCCATTGCACTCAATATCACGTGACCCTAAACAGCTAATTAAACGATTAGAATTTAATAAGGTATTATATAATATCGAATAACTGTAACTGGGCAAAGTTACTATATATAATAACTAATGCACTCCTTGAGTTTAAGATACCTTCACCACAATTGTCACTTAGGGAATGGTCATTATTTTGCCCCTGTGGTGATATACTGTATTTTATAGTGTCCATGGTTAACTTGAGAAATGTTGTAGGTGATTCAAGCACTAAGCTGTTACAGCTGATGAGTTAGAGTGAATGTTATGGTCTGTTAAGACCCATTTATACAATAGGACTAGTTGTATACGATTGAACACGACTGTTGACACCACTATTCGTGTTCATCAGTTTATGGGGAAATTTTATTTCATACCTTTACAGTCTACACACATTTATTCGATTACATTTGCCAGAATAAAAATCATATATGACTAGTTGTATCGTGCAGATGGCCCTTCAGAAACTGGATGCCAACTGCCAAGTTTCCTGATATCACCCACAACAAACAACTGTGTCACTGTGTGGCAGTCAACTTCAAATGAATTCTGTGCCAACTGCATGCCAAAAATAAATCCGTGTTTCCCAGATTCATGCTCAATATATTTAGCGTATTACACTTAAAATGCACCCTGGGCCTGGCCAATACTAGTAAACTCAGTTAACTTTACTACACTGGACCACCATAAATATGGAGACATTAATTAATGAAGTGGCTATATCTACGGGCCCGTAAACAGACTTCGCCTGGCTTATTTACGGCACTCTCATTCTTAGTCTCCACACGGCCTGTCTTCAGGCATCGAAATAACTGCCGGTGACCATAGATATCTTATATACACTAGATAGTGCATCTAATTATTCTGCAATTCAAAAATTGAAGCCGTGATTGCAGTCTCATATCGTTCCCATGAAATGAGAAGATTCGTATGTTTTCTATCTCTTAAACAGGGAACTTAAACATTAAGTTAACCCCATTCCAAATACGTTTTCAAACTATTCAAATGATAAAAGTTATTGTTGTTTTTAAGCGTTTATTAGCAAGTGGGAACGACCAACATGGCCGCCATCTATTCAAATGGGGGTAACCGCTGGAATATTCTTGGCTTCAATTTTACTAAAAGAGATGCGCTATCTAGT